GGGCCCGAAAGAAAAAGGAAGAATAATGGTGGAGAGCGGGAAAAGAGAGAGGGAAGGCAAGAGACAAAGGGCCAAGATGATTAAGCAAGAAGATGAGGGGAACAGGTGGCGAAGAAAAACACAGAGGAGAGGTTCGGCAGTGTGAATACAAAAGGCGCAGGGGGCAAGCACATCGAGCCAGACAGGCCCCCAGAAAAGCTCCCGGAAGACTCGGGAAGAGGGACGGACCGCCCGGCACCCTCTCTGTCTCTCTCTCTCTCTCTCTCTCTCTCTCTCTCTCTCTTCACTCTCTCTCTCTCTCTCTCTCTCTCTCTCTCTCTCTCTCTCTTTTCCTTTTCTCTCTCTCTCTCTCTCTCTCTCTCTCTCTCTCTCTCTCTCTCTCTCTCTCTCCACCGCGCCGGCGGGGCGACGGTGGGCGCGCAGTCGGGGCAGTACCAGTCCCCCTCGGGGATGTCGCTGAGCGGCGGCTCGAGACAGAATGTGTGGTGGCCGCGGTCGCAGGAGTCGCAGAGCAAGATGAGCTCGTCCCGCTCGCCTGGGGCGAGATGTGGCGAGATATGGGGAGGTGTGGGGAGATATGGGGAGATAGGAGGAGCTCGTCCCGCTCGCCTAGGGCGAGATGTGGCGAGATATGGGGAGATGGTCATCTCCGAGTGCACCCCCCTCCCACCCCCGAGAGATGGTGAGAGAGAAATTTCGGCCCCCGTGCCGCGGTCGACGCCGGAGGAAAAGACTCTCGGGTCCTCTCGGGTCCTCTCGGGTCCTCTCGGGTCCTCTCGGGTCCTCTCGGGTCCTCTCGGGTCCTCTCGGGTCCTCTCGGGTCAGCTCGCCCGTGCCGCAGAGGACGCAGTTGTACGTCGCGTCCGCCTCCGCCTCGAGCGCACGCAGCTCCTCCTCGGTCGGCTCGGGCCTAGAAGGTTCATGGAAGGTTCCTGGAGGGTTCCTGCAGCGCACGCAGCTCCTCCTCGGTCGGCTCGGGCTTTCGCTGCACGAGCGGCTCGACAGCGCGCGCCTAGAAGGTTCCCGGAAGGTTCGTGGAGGGCTCGTCCAAGGTGACTATAGCTGCTGGCTACCTCTCGGCTACCTCTCGGCTACCTCTCGGCTACCTCTCGGCTCCCTCTCGGCTACCTCTCGGCTGCCTCTCGGCTCCCTCTCGGCTACCTCTCGGCTGCCTCTCGGCTATCTCTCGGCTGCCTCTCGGCTACCTCTCGGCTACCTCTCGGCTACCTCTCGGCTATCTCTCGGCTATCTCTCGGCTACCTCTCGGCTACCTCTCGGCTATCCCTCTGCTATCTCTCGGCTACCTCTCGGCTACCTCTCGGCTACCTCTCGGCTACCTCTCGGCTACCTCTCGGCTACCTCTCGGCTATCCCTATGCTACCTCTCGGCTACCTCTCGGCTATCCCTCTGCTACCTCTCGGCTACCTCTCGGCTACCTCTCGGTCATCTCTCGGCTCTCCCTCCGCTACCTCTCGGCTACTCTCTCTCGCCTCGATCACGCCGGCCGCGTCCTTCCTCGAGACGGTGGCGACGCTTCTCTTGCAGAGTGGGCACGAGGACTCGGTCTCCTACGCGTTGAATACGCCAACCTCGGGGCGGGAGATATGGGGAGATATGGGGAGATATGGGCAGCCTGCGTTGCGAACACGCCAGCCTCGGGGCGGGGGAAGACGGTGTTGTGCAGTGTCCTCAGAGCACCGCGTGAAGACAACGGAGAGGAATACAGTGAATACGGCGGAATGCGGCCGAATACAGCGGAATCCGCGTCCTCTCGAGCGCTGGTTGGAAGGGAAGAATACGTATTCCGCTTCTGGGCTCGCTTTCCTGTTCACAAGCTGGAGCCGTGAGGAGACGCCGTTCACAGCGGCGGCGCAGAGAGCGGGCAGGACGGCGGCGGCGGTCTCCTCCACCCACCGGCAGATGCACGCGAAGCAAAAGGTGTGCTGGCAGCAGTCGAGCGCGCCTGGAGCCGAGAGGCGGCTCAGACGCAGCTCAGACGCGGCTCAGAGGTAGCTCAGAGGTAGCTCAGAGGTAGCTCAGAGGTGTCTCGGAGGTGTCTCGGAGGTGTCTCAGAGGTGTTTCAGAGGGAGCTCAGAGAGAGCCTACTGCCGGTGGGCCGCACACAGCAGAGGCGTGGCGAGGTGTGCTGGCGAGATGGAGATGTGCTGGGGGAGAGGTGCTGGGGAGATGTGCTGGCGCAGCACTGCTGAGGAGCGCGCCCAGGTCGCCGAAGCTCGTCAGCTCTCGCATGGTCGCTGCCATGCAGATGGAGCAAGAGTCGTCGTCAGCGCTGCCGCACGGCGGTGCGGTGCGACCCCCCGATGCGCCCCCAGATGCGCCGCCCGCGCTGCCCGCGCCGCCCGCGCTCCGCCGCTTCTCTGATGCGGTCCGCGGCCGGCCAGCAGAGCCGATAGAGCCGACGCCGCTGACGGGCGCGCGGCCTACGGCGTGGAGACAGCCGTGTCGGGGTGTGAAGGCGGCATGAGACACCGGAGTGCGAGTCCTAATAAATTAACTAATTAATTAATTAATTAATTGGCATGAGACACCGGAGTGCGAGTCCTCTCCAGCACTAGTTTGGACACAATGAGACGCTCACGAACGGCGGCATGGCAGAGGGGGGGGGGGGGTGCCAGGGGGGGGGGGGGGGCAAATTGCGGTGCGGTGCCCGTGCCCCTGCCCGTGCCCCTCCCGTGTGGGAGCGTGTGGGAGCGCGCATCTCGCGAACAACTGGGCGTGGCGTTGATACGGGTCAAGCTGATGGCTGCTCACTCCACCGCGGACATCTAGAGGCTGCGCCGCCTCCGCCCGAGCCGGAGCAAGCACCCGATCCGGACCCGAGCACCAAGCCGGCGGGACGCCGTGCGTGGGGCGTCGCGAAGCACGGCGGCGCCGGCGCCGGCGCTGCCGCCGGCCACTGCTGCGGCGGCGGCTGCTGCGGCGGCTGCTGCGGCGGCGGCTGCGGCGGCCGCTGCGGCTGTTGCGGCGGCGGCTGCTGCGGCTGCTGCGGCTGCTGTGGCTGCTGCTGCAGGCAGGCAGGCGGGAGCTCCCCGAGAGGCGGGCGCTGTAGCGTGGCGCTCGAGGCGGGAGGGGGCTGTTGCTGAAAGTAGCGGGAGCGGCCGCCTCCGCCCTGCCGCACGGCGCCCCCTGCGCTCGAGCGCTGACGCAGCAGACCCTGCGGCCGCGAGGCTGGGCGCGACGACTGGAACGGCGCGACCGGCGCCCGCAGCGGCGGCGCAAACTGCTCGGGCAGCCGCGGCGGAGGCCGCGACAGCCGGCTGGGCTGCAGGGAGTGCGGCACGGCACGCGGCAGCGCGGCGGACGGCGAGGCGCGCTCGGCGGCAGGAGCCGCGCCGGAGGAGCGGGCCTGCGCGTCGGCGCGGCGGCGCAGGGCCTGCTGCCTGTTCTGCTCGATGCGGTCCCGCGTGTCTGGCGAGATCTGCGGCTGCATCGGGCGCGGCGACGAGGGGAGAGCCTTGAGCACACTCGAAAATCCGGACAGAATTTTTTGTGGCCTTACCGGCCCTTCCTCCCTTTCCCTGCGAACGCGCACCCCCCAGGGCTAGGGCTCTCTAGCCCGTGACCCGATCCCGATCATCCGGCCCGCTGGGTGCGCTTCTCAGCTCGGACGAGAGAATTTACCGCTCGCGCTGTGCTCCAAGTGCACGACACTGGGCACGGGACTGGCGCGCACTGGCACTAACCTAACCTGGCACTAGCACAGGTACACCACTGTCCTAGTGCGTGCGAAAGAGAATTTTACCACTGCCTCGCACGACACTGGGCACGGGACTGGCGCGCACTGGCACTAACACAGAAAGAGAATTTTAGCCTCCTATAGTGATTTCAAGAAATCAGCGGGGCGCGGAGCGTCCGTGGCGCGGAATCAACCCGGTCGTGGCCTAACCCTTCCGGTGTGTCGGTATTAATTAGTTAACTATTAATTAAGAGTTGATTAAGAGTTAGTTAATAGCACCTCGCGGTTCGTCGGCGCCAGCCTCGCCGCCTCGCGCAGGTCGCGCCTAGAAGAGAAGGCTCCCAGAATGCTCCCGGAAGGCTCCTGGAAAGTTCCCAGCCTCGCCGCCTCGCGCAGGTCACGCCGCGCCGCGCCAAAGTCCGAGGAGCGAGAGAGCGCCTTGGCGCGCCGGAAGAGCGCCTTCACGTTCGCCTCAGCCTCCGCCCCAAGTGGGTCCGAGAGCCGGCCGACGGCGGCGTCGCAGGCGGCGGCGGCGGCGGCCCACTCGTCGCAGCGCAGCAGCAGGCGGCCTAGACACTTCCGAGACACTTCCTAGACACTCCCTAGACACCTCCTGGACACCTCGTCGCAGCGCAGGCAGCAGGCGGCCTCGTTGAGCCGGCACGCCACCAGCAGCTGGCGCGCCTCCTCCTCCCTATAGTATAGTACAGTCCAGTACAGTCAGTACAGTCTATTAGTATAGAGAGTATAGTACAGTGTAGTATAGGATAGTACACCTCCCCGCGGGGGCGCGCAGCTCGCCGAGCGACGCGTACCCCGGGCCCGGCGGCGGCGGCCGAGGCCACAACGAGGGAGCGGGCTCGGAAGAACCCGGACTAAAAAGAAGAAAACGCGAAAAACGGCGGCGCCGCCGACTTCTTAGCCAAGGGGCTGGGAATGCTGCGCCGTCTCGCCCCGCCACCCCCCGCGCCGCCCGCGCCCGTCCGCCGTTCGACGACCAATACCATTCATCGGGACGCGGGGGCTCTCGGCTACGGACGGCCTACGGGACCGGCCCCAGCTTCGGCTGAGGGCTGAGGTAGTGGTAGTGGTAGAGCCCGACAAGCTGCCGAGCCCGAGGAAGGAGGTGGGGTCCTCACCCGCCGTCACCCCGGCGGCCCGCGCACGCACGCCGTCTGAGCCTAGCGCAGCGCGAACTCGCTCTGAGCCTAGCGCAGCGCGAGATTTGCGCAGCAACCCGGGCAACCCTTGAAAAAAAGTTATTTTTGAAAATTCCTGCTTTAAATAGGGGAACCCCCGAGGGCCCAGACCCACCCTACAGTTGTACCTCCCGCCCCAAGCAAAAAGAAAAATGCCGGTTATTTCTTTTTCCCTCTGAATCCCAAACCGCCTCCATCTGCTGCACGCCGTCATGCTCCTCCTCGCCGTCCTCGCGGCGCCCTCAAACGCCGCCTCTCGCCCCCGTCCGCGGCGCGGGGGGGCACTCATCGACACGCGCAACCGCACCGACTTCTTCATCAAGCTCCCGACCGACGCGCCGGCCCTCGCCCTCGCGGCGTCTGCCTCGCGCAAACCCGACAAGGCCGCGGAGCTCCTGCTCCACCAAGACGTCCTCGGGGGTGGGGGGGCGCTGTTCGGTGCCTGTCCGGACGTCGCCACCTTCCATCCGACCTCCTCCTTCCCGTTCAACCTCTCCAAGTTCAGCGGCGCCGCCTCACGCGCCGCCGGCCAGACTACCTTCAAGCCCATCGGCGCCGCGGCCGACGCCGAGCTCGCCTCCTTTGGCGAGACCACCGGTGCGGCCAACGCTGGCGACGCCTCGCTCGCCGACTCCACCGTCAACTCCGTCGGCGTCACGTGCGGCGGCGCCGGCGCCCCTGCGTGGTGCGCGGAACTGCCGCAGCCGCTCGCCGAGCTCTGCGTCTCCGAGGATCCGATCGAGGCCTCGGGCTCCACGAGCAACGAGACGAGCCTCAAGACCGCCACGGCCCACTCCAAGAGCAAGACCGGCGAGACGGACACAAAGGTGTGCGACTCTCTGCTCTCTCCCACACCGTCTGGCCTCTCTTCACCGGCCGCCACTCTCGCCCCTCCACCACCCCACACCATCCCTTGCCGGCCGCCTCCGCCCCAACTCCCCCAGCCGCCCTCCTCCGCCGCCACCCGCCCCGCCACCCGCCCCCCCTTGCCGGCCAACCTCCCCCGCCGCCCTCCCCACCTCCCTTGCCGCCTCTCCCTGCTCCGCCGCCCTCCCCTCCGCCGCCCCCTCGCCCCTCTCGCCCCTCTTCGCCCGCAGTCGCTCCCGATGCATCCCACCGTCCGCCGCCCCCACACCGGCGCCTCCGCTGCGCGCCGTCCCCGCCTCCGCCCCAACCGTTTCCCCTCCCTTCACAGAACAAGCCTGTCCCGGGCTTCACGAGCGGAATCTCCTCTTCCGCGCCTGGCCGCGCCCGGCAGCGCGGTCAGCTTTGGGCCGCCTTGTTCTTGCTGCTCGGAGCGTGCGGCGGCGTGCTGCTCTCGGTGCGGAGGAGCAACTCCGGGCGCCTCGTGCGGTGCCGGACGGGGGCGAGGCGCGGCGCGTGGCTGCTGATTCTCGCCGCGCTGCTCCCGCTGGCATGTGCACCATCAGTCCACACGTCTGGCTCGGGCGAGACTGGCTCTGGGGAGATTGGCTCTGGGGAGGTTGACTCACCGCCGTCCGCTCCATCAATCGACTTCCAGGTCACTGTGGGTGGCGGGAGCTGGCAGGCCGACGTGTCGTGGACCCTGACGTGCAGCGGCGCGTTGATCGGCAGTGGAGGGGCGCCCTACTCCGGCACCCTGTCCGCGCCACCCGGCGAGTGCACGCTCAACATGTACGACTCGTACGGCGACGGCTGGACCGACAACCAGTGGGAGGGTGCGGGCTATACGTTCATGCTCGAAACCGGATCCTCCGGCAGCGAGACTTTCACCGTTGCCGCCTCCCCTCCGTCCTCTCCGCCAGCTTCACCGCCGCCGCCGCTGCCGCCGGTCTTTCCCGGCTTCGATGTCGCCGCGTCGACCGAGGCCGAGCTCCGCTCCCTGATCGAGGGGGCTATTGCCAACATCTCAATCTACCTGCCGCCCAGTGCGGACTTCAAGCTTGGCAGGCAGATCAACTGCGGCTCCAGCATCAAGGTGACCGTCGCGAGCAGCGGCGAGGGCGCGACGCTCGACGGCCAGGGAGAGACCGGGCTCTTTTACCTCTGGGGCGGCTGCAGCCTCACCCTGCGGGGGCTGAGCCTCGTCAACGGGATGGCGTACTACGGCGGCGTTGTGGAGGCGTGGCGCGCAGGCGACGTCGAGATCATCGAGTCGACCGTGACGGGCTGCTTTGCTGCAGTGCGCCGTGTAGAGCTAGCCGCCCTGCAGCGCCACACGGCAGCGGGGCGAGGGATAGAGAGGGTCACGGCTGCCTCACCCCGCTCTCTCCTCGCAACCGCAGTCCGGCGGCGTCGTCTACGCGGAGGACAGCGGTGCGGTCTCGATAATCGGCTCGGCCGTGTCGGGCTGCTCTGCTCTCCAGGTGCGCCGCGTAGAGCTAGCCGCCTGCAGTGCCGCACGGCAGCAGGGCGAGGGATAGAGAGGGTCACGGCTGCCTCACCCCGCTCTCTCCTCCCAACCGCACAGAACGGCGGAGCTACATTCGCGCAAAACAGCGACCTCATCGTGACCGACTCCACCATCTCTGGCTGCAATGCCACGCGAGGCGGCGCAGTGTACGTGGCGTCGGGCTCAGCCAGCCTGGCCCGCTCCAACATCTCCAACTGCATCGCCACAGAGTCTGGCGGCGGCCTCTACTCGGCGGGAGGGCGCACCTCCCTTAGCGACGGCACACTCATAAGCGGCTGCTCTGCCCTGTCTGGCGGCGGCCTCTACTCGGCGGGAGGGGGCACCTCCCTTAGCGACGGCACCCTCATCCGCGGCTGCTCGGCCGAGGGTCAGGGGAATTCCATCTTTCTCCTCGCTGGCGAGGTCTCCTACGCCCTCCCCGCCCCCGCCGGCCGCTGGCTGCCGAACGCGCGATGCGAGGTGTACCGGGAAGCGTGCCCGACGGACCAATATGGTCGCCCGACCAATGACTGCCCTAATCACCGCGAAGATTGCGCGATCAACCTCGTTGTTCAGAACAACGTCAACCCGTGGTACTGCCAGGCCCCGACCTTCGTGCAGCCCTGCAACTGGGAGGACGACTCCTCCCTCCTCGGCGAGAGCCTCTACCAGCTGCCGCTGCTGCCCGTCGATGATGACTTCCCCTTTGCCTGCGCCGCCGGCCTCCTCGGCTCGGCCGACCCAGAGGACCAGTCGAGCAGCAACTGCGCCGGCCGCTGCCGCGCAGGCTCCCAATGCCCCACAGAGGCGACCTATGAGGCGCTGCCCTGCGATGCGGGTCATTACTGCCCGAAGGGGACGAGCGTGCCCCTTCCCTGCCCCGCCGGATCGTACTCGAACGCCACCAACCTCGCCGCCGCCAGCGAGTGCACCGACGCCTCGCCGGGCCACATCGCCACCACCGGCGCCACGCAGCAGACGGCGTGCGCCAAGGGAAGCTACGCCGCCACGGCCGGCCTCTCCGAGTGCGCCAGCTGTGCGGGCGGATCGTACCAGGGCGAGTCGAACGCGACGAGCTGCCTTCCGTGCGACATGGGAAGCTACTGCGAGCCGGGCGCGTCGAGGCCGCTGCCGTGCGAGGGCGGTTCCTACTCGGACAGGACGGACCTGTCGGCCGCCTCGCAGTGCACGCCCGCCGCTCCGGGCCACATCGCCGCCCGGGGCTCCACCGAGCAGACGGCGTGCGGCGAGGGCAGCTTCGCCAACGGCACGCGTAACGAGGTCTGCGAGCTGTGCGCCGCGGGCTCCTACCAGGGCGCGACCGGCGCGAGCGAGTGCACCGCCGCCTCGCCGGGCTACTTCGCCACCACCGGCTCCACGCAGCAGACGGCGTGCGCCAAGGGGTCGTACACGGACGCGCACGGGCAGGGCGAGTGCACGCCCTGCGCCGCCGGCACGTACCAGGACGAGGAAGGCAAGACGGCGTGCGAGCCGTGCGAGGCGGGCGGCTACTGCGCTGTTGGCGCGGCGGCGGCGCTGCCGTGCGAGGCTGGCAGCTACTCGCGCGCCACCAACCTCTCCGCCGCGAGCGAGTGCACCGCCGCCTCGCCGGGCCACTTCGCCACCACCGGCTCCACGCAGCAGACGGCGTGCGCCATGGGAAGCTACGCTGTCACGGGCGGCCTCTCTGAGTGCGAGCCGTGCAAGGGGGGGACCTACCAGCACGATCAGGGTGCGACGGGCTGTCTCGTGTGCAAGAAAGGCAGCTACTGCGAGCTGGGCGCGTCGGCGCCGCTGCCGTGCGAGGCTGGCAGCTACTCGAACGCAACAAACCTCACCGCCGCGGGCGAGTGCACGGCCTGCCCCGCCGGCAGCGCCTGCTCCACGGGCAGCATCGAGCCGACGCCGTGCTCGCCTGGCACTTTCGCCGCGAAAGAGGGGCAGTCCAAGTGCGAGTCTTGCGATCCCGGCACTTCGTCGAATCAAGGCAGCGTCGCGTGCGACGAGTGCGTGGCTGGCAAATACGCCGCCAACGCTGGCCAAAGCCTCTGCAATCTATGTCCGCATCCCCTCAGCTCGGTCAGCGGCAGCACCATCTGCTCTATCTGCATGGACGACTACTATCTGCGGAACACCTCGGCCGACGCAGGGGACGTCTTGACCTCCCCCACCGAGTACTGCAAGCCGTGCCCGCCGAACGCTGCCTGCCCGGACAACACCACCCTTTCTTCCCTCGTCCTCCTGCGCGGCTTCTGGCGCGCCAGCCCCTCCTCCGCGGTGCTGACAGAGTGCCGCCTCTTTGGTGGCAATGCCAATGCCGGCAAGAAGCGATGCGCCGGCAGCGAGCCGGTGGCGAGAGGCCGGAGGATGGTGGAGGCGGGCTCGGACGCGTACTGCGCGTCGGACTTCAAAGGCCCCGAGTGCCAGCTCTGCGCCGCAGAGAATCATCACCTCGTCGACGGCGACACCTGCGAAGTATGCGCTCCGCGCGGAGCGGCGGCTGGCCGCATCGCCGGCCTCGTCCTCGGCCTCTGCGTCGCGTGCGGCTTGGCGGCTTGGGCCTACAACATGCCGTGGCGGAAGGAGCGCATCATCGGCCCTCTCCTCCGCTTTGCAGACCGCTCCGTCAAGTACTACGTCGGCGTCGGAATGACGGCCAAGGTCAAGATCCTGTTCGGCTTTTACCAGATCAGCACCGTATTGTCCTCCACCTACTCCGCGCGGCTGCCGGACAAGTACACGGGCTGGACGGACAACTTGGCCAACGTGATCTCCATCGACTGGTCTGGCTTTTTCATGCCGGAGCAGTGCCTCGGCTACGCTCTGCGGCTCCTCGCCATCGCCCTCTCCCCCGTTGCCCTCATCGCCATGCTAATGGTTGCGGGAATAAGTCTGCGGCTCCACTGCTGGCGCGTCGCCCCGGCGCCGCGCGAGAGATCGTGGTACGCGGAGGCGGCCCTCGGCCTCCTCGACCTCACGCCAACCGGCCTCGTGCTCATCTTCTGCTTCGTGCCCTCCATCAGCGCCTCCATTTTCCAATCCTGGTCGTGCCAGGCGCCCTCTCGCACAGCTGATGACTGCCGTTGCTCACCCCCTCCGGCCTCACAGTCCTCGTAACGTTCTGCTGATAGGCCTACACCACCTCTCCGCCCGGCGAGGAGCTAGAGCAGGTCTCCTACATGCGGCAGGACGCGAGCGTCGAGTGCGGCACCGAGGAGCACAGGTCCATCACGAGACTCGCCATCGGCTTCATCGTCCTCTGGCCCGCCGGCTCGCTGGTCCTCTTCACGTCGCTCCTCGCCGCCTGCTACAAGCCGCTGCAGGCCAAGACACCGAATGCTCTGACGCGGGCCACCGCCTTCCTCCACCGGGAGTACGAGAAGACCTGGTACTGGTGGGAGGCGGTCGAGCTGGCGCGCAAGCTCGTGCTGACCGGCTTCGTGCTGCTGATCCCGGAAAAGAACGCATTCCTTCGCCTCGTGGTAGCGACCCTCGTCTGCTCCTTCTACGCCGTCGTCCTCGCCGTCGTGCGGCCCTACAAGCGGGTCGAGGACGACGTGCTAGCCGTTGCCACCAGCCTCGTGCTCCTCCTCCTCTTCCTCGGTACCAACTGGAGCACCATCTTCCTCGGCATCCAGGAGCGGTACCAAGGAGCCGACCCCGCCGATGTCCTCGGCTTTGGCAATCTGAACCGCATCGTGGACCCGATGATCATCCTCGTTGCAGTCGTGCTCGTCTTCTTCTCAATCGGCGCCATCGTCGCCGCCCGCCGCGTCGCCAAGATCCCCACGATCCGCCTCGCTTCGACCAAGCAGCCCCCCGAGATGAGCATCGGGACTGGCCTCACGTGGCACCTCTTCAACAGCCACATCTGGTGAGTCATGAAGGGAGAAGAGGGAGCGAAAACAGCCGGCGTGATCCCCTTACCCAAACGAATAGGTCTACCGGTCAAGACGCCGTCAAGGTCATCAAGGGTGAGCTCGAGCAGCTGCTGCCGGACATCAAAGTCTTTCTCGACGCGCACACGCTCAGCAGCGCTGCTTAAGCTACACAGAGCCCCTCTCTGACGCTCCGCGGTGTGCTCTCATAGGTAGATGATCTTAAGGATATCGGGGCGCTCGAGGAGTACATCCAGCGCTCGCAAGCCATCCTCTTCTTCCTCTCGCAGGGCTACTTCCGCTCCAAGGCGTGCCTCTTCCTCCCACCCCGCCTCTACCGCACCCTGGCCCTAGTTCCCGCCTCTCCCGCGCCACAGAACTGCCTCCGAGAGGTTCGCTCGTCGCTCGAGAAGGACAAGCCGCTCGTCCTCGTCCAAGAAGCGGACCCTGAAAAGGGAGGCGGGACGCTGCAGGCGCTGCGCGACGAGTGCCCCGAGGACCTGCAGCCCGATATCTTTGACACGGACTGGCCGCTCACGATCTGGTATCGCATCGATGAGTTCCAGCTCATCTCCCTCAAGATCATCGCCGAGGCGCCCCCGGCCGCAGCCAGCCGCTCCGCAGTCCTCTCTACCTCCCGACCGACCCCACTTGAACCACCCTAGGCGGTGCTCCTCTGTTCGCCCAACTTTCTGGACAAGACCTCCCTCCCGCTCTGCGTGTCGGGCGAGCCCGAGAGCCAGTCGCTCGCCTTTTCCAAACCGTGCACGCTCTGGGCCTCTCCTGCCAACCCGGGCGCCGCAGAGCTGGCCTGCGAGCTTGCCAGGGCCTTTCCCGGCCTCACCGTCTCCACCGTCGCGGACGTTGGCTCTTCTTCATCAGCGCGCCCCTCCACGGCACTTCGCGTGTCTGCCCGCCGAACGCGCCGCGGGACCAGCGATGTGACCCACATGCTGTTGTACCTCAATCAGAACACCTGGTTAGAGGACGACGGCGAGCGGCTGGCCGAGCAGGTCAAGCAGGCGCGGGAGGACAGGCTGAAGATCGTCATGGCGCACGAGAACGACCCCGCGCTCGGCGGCTGCCAGTTCTCGAGGTTTTTCGAAGTCACGCCGCAGGAGCGAATGTCTCAACGTGACGCTCGTCCCGAGCCTCCCCTCCTCCCACAACCCTCTCCCCCAAACGCCGCAGGAGCTCATCGCCGGCGGACTCTACAAGGACCTGGCAAAATCGTGCGCCCCCGGCCGCCACCGCAAGGCGCGCGCCCCGTCGCCCCCACAGCGAGCTCTCCCCCGCATCGAGCCTTTCGTGAAGAGGGGCGTCCCTGTCCGCAGGTGTCGCTCGTGCTTCTGGCAAAGAGCCTAGGCGCTATCCCCGCTCGCGCGGACCTCCTCGTTTCCGGCAGCGTCGCTGAGGGCGGCACCAGCCTCGCGAAGCGCAGCTTTGGCGGACTCAGCCGTGTGTTCGCCAAGATGAGCAGCCGCAGCTCTGCGGAGGCGCGCGATGTCTCTGGAGGCGAGGAGTCGTCGGTGCAGCGGCAGGTCTGATCGGTTGCGCGATGTCGTGCGCAAAACGTGCGCGAGGCGATGCACCGACACGCAGGGACAGACAATGTGAGTGAGGGAGTGCAGTGTTCTTGATTGAGCATTGACACAGAAAAAGAAACGTGCTAGTTTTATTTTCCCTCGCGTCTGTTTTCACCAATGTTTTCTTTTTCACAGCCACACCGCAGGAGCGAATGTCTCAACGTGTGACTCCCGTCCCGAGCCTCCCTTCCCCCCACAACCCTGTGCTCTCCCCCCGCAACTAGCAACGCCGCAGGAGCTCATCGCCGGCGGACTCTACAAGGACCTGGCAAAATCCTGCTTCCCCGGCCGCCACCGCAAGGCGCGCGCCCGCTCTCTCACACAGCGAGCTCTCCCCTGCATCGAGCGTTTCGTGGCGAGGGGCGTCCCTGTCCGCAGGTGTCGCTCGTCCTTCTGGCAAAGAGCCTAGGCGCTACCCCGCTCGCGCGGACCTCCTCGTTTCGGGCAGCGTCGCTGAGGGCAGCACCAGCCTCGCGAAGCGCAGCTTTGGCGGACTCAGCCGGGTGTTCGCCAAGGTGAGCAGCCGCAGCTCTGCGGAGGCGCGCGATGTCTCTGCAGGCGAGGCGTCGTCGGTGCAGCAGCAGGTCTGATCGTTGCGCGATGTGCGCATAACGTGCGGCGAGGCAATGCACAGACACGCAGACACAGGACAATGTGAGTGAGTGAGCGAGTGTTCTTGACACAGAAAAAGAAACGGTGTAGCTTTCTTTTTCACACGCGGTGTACCTGTGTTAGTGCCAGTGCGGTGAGCGTTCTGGTTTACACGCGGTGTACCTGTGTTAGTGCCAGTGCGGTGAGCGTTCTGGTTTTTTTCTTTTTTCACAGTCCTGCGGCACAACCATCAACTGGCGCCTGCGGGCGTGTGACAGCTGCGCGTCATCGAACGCAGGCAGTTCGTCACGCGGCGGATGTAGAGCTCTACAGCTCTACAGCGCTCCAGAGCGCTCTACATCTCTACAGCTCTACAGCGCTCTACACTCTACATCCTCTACATCCTCCCTCAGCGGAGGCATAACAATATCCTTTTGTCTCTCTGGACGTCCTTGGCCAGCGTTTGCAGCCACTAGGGTTGCCTAACGTTAATTATTTTGGGGCCCCTAACAGTTGCGCTATTGTTGGCTGAAATCCTCAACGTTGTTCAAGTGTTCACCCCAGCCTGTTACTGTTTGTTGCCCTGTCCCGAAAGAAGGAAGAAAGAATTTTACAACAAAACTCCCTCTCACAACACTGGGCACGGGACTGGCGCGCACTGGCACTAACACAGGTATGTGTATCGCGCGCCTTGCGGGGGGGGGCGCGGAAAAGAGGAACCTCTTAGCGCCATTGATTGATGGGAAGGCGAAACACAGTCCGACCAACGACTGGCGCCACCGTGCCCTGTCTGTTGTGAATTCTTAAGATACAAGCCTCTGTTGTGAATTCCCAGGGCCTCCAGGGCTCGCACCTCAACCTCTCACAGACCAGCGCGCACAGCGCCATAGGACGTATTTTGACCGCAGCGAATATGTCACACCTGAGCGGAGGCCAGTTGATTCGCGAGGCTCTGGCAAAAGTGCGGTTGGCAACGTGCTTTGCCGGATCAAGTTTTGTACCCCCTAAACATGAGAGCCGGCCGACGGCGGCGTCGCAGGCGGCGGCGGCGGCGGCCCACTCGTCGCAGCGCAGGCAGCAGGCGGCCTAGACACTTCCGAGACACTTCCTAGACACTCCCTAGACACCTCCTGGACACCTCGTCGCAGCGCAGGCAGCAGGCGGCCTCGTTGAGCCGGCACGCCACCAGCAGCTGGCGCGCCTCCTCCTCCCTATAGTATAGTACAGTCCAGTACAGTACAGATAGTATAGAGAGTATAGTACTACTAGTATAATAGTATGCACATGGGTAAAGTGGGTTGAGGCGGGCTAGTACTGTAGGGTGGTCGGACTGTCTATTGGGATTGACCCCAGCTATAGGGAAAGTGACGCGATGGCATCGTTTGTGGCTCGGCCTAGCGACTGGCCTGCAAGGTCCACCGCGCGCTTACAGCCAAGCGGGTGGGCGGCGCGATCGGCCAAGCTCCTGGCGGCGCTACTGATGAGCCAGCGGCTGATGTGCGACGTCGACATGGTCGAGGAGCAGCAGTTGAGGCAGCTCCACGTTACTCGCTGCTCCTCGCCCGGAGAGCATGACGCGCAACAACGGCCCGCGACAGCGCCCGCAGCTCCGCGAACCAGTTCACGTAGGGGACGTCCGCCGCAATTCGGACAATGTCTGGTCCCAAAACGCGCCACATGACGTCCACCGCCGCCGCGTTGGGCGGCGTGCGCCGACGCCGACCATCACCACCGACCGACGGCTCGCACGGCCGTGCGGTGAGCAAAAATTTGGGTCGCTGCGCGCCTGCCGGATGCTCTGCGACGTCTGGACGCTCGCCAGAAACGCCAGGAATTTTGCCTTCCACCCCTGGGCCCGAGGGCGAACGGCAGTGGTCGGCAGCCTCTGCGACGCTCCGATCGGCTCCTCGACCGCATCGCCTGCGACGAGCCAGCATGGCTCGTCGCTCGACGGCAGCCTGCTCAGTATGCTCTTGGCATTCTGTACAGCCTCGCCAGGCTCTCTGAGACGGCCTGCAGGGCCGGCGCGGACCGCCTCGGGCGCGATGGCCCTCCTCAGTACCTACCCCTTCGATGCCTGTCGGCTCTCCAATCGCGTCGCCGGCGGCAGGCCCGCATGGCGCGCTGCTCGATGGCAGCTTGCTCAGTACGCCTTGGACAGTGACTTCTGCCTCGCTGCTCTTACTGCAGCCGCCTCCGGGGCCGGCGCCAGCCGCCTCGCTTCGCCAGTGCTGTCTACGCCTGCGACACGCGTGTCGGTTCGCCGCCCGCGTCGCCCGCGGCGGGCCCGCATGGCGCGCCGCTCGTCGGGAGCGTTCCCAGCAGGCTGTGCAGGGCAGTCTGCCTCACTCAGGGCGCTGCCGCCGCTGCGCGGGGCCGCCACCGGCGCTGCTGCCGTGAACACTGCCGCCGTGTACGTCACCATCGCCTCTCTTCATCGCCGATCTCGCCGACGCCGCTCGCCGCTCGCCGCCGCCCTGCCTTGCCCTGCCCTGCCCTCGCACAAACAATGAAACAAACCAACACAGACACACACACAACAGACACACACACTCACGCTCTCCCGCCTCACGCCCTGCGCCTCACGCCGCGCGTCCCACGCACGCCCCGCCCCCCGCGCCCCCACGCCCCTCACCTCGCGCCTCACGCCTCCCTCCCCACCCTCTCAGGCATTTCTCCTCCCTGCTGCTCGCCGACTCCTCCTCCCCCCGCATGACCGACGACTACCCGTCCTTCAGCGACTCCTCCCTCTTCAGCGCCAACGCCCACTACCCGTTCGGCCCGGTGAGGGGCAGGAGCGGAGCCATTCCAACGGCTGGGAAAATTTCTGAACGGCCGTGCATGCGCCTGCATGCCGGACAACTAAGAAGGTCCCTCGCTCCTGCTCCTCTCTCGGAAGACGTGCGCCGGCCTGGGGGATTCGCTTGCGATCCCGCTCCAGCCAGAGGCCGCGTGAGGCGTGTGGGACGGTGCACGCTGGGGCTTGGCCCCAAGTGCACTGGCCTCGCGTCTCGAGGGGAGGGCGGCTCGTAACTGAGGTTCGCCGTCGGAGACAGTCGTCCTCCCCTCAACCCGACGAGAGTGGGCGGGCAGTCCCCGTGGCTGCAGTCGCGCTTCCGAGCCGACTCCGCCCCTCTCTCCACCCGGCCATTCCAACGGCCAGGCCGCTCGCTTAAGGCTGATTGGCTAGACGAGCGGCCTACCTCCAACGGGGCGGTCTGGATCACGGGGGATGACATCCTGCCTCCCGGCACGCCGGGAGGAGGTGGGTGCTCCGCCGCTGGACCGCCCTCTCCACCACCCTCGCCCAGGGATCTACAATGGTGTCTCAAGGTCCGACCTGTGGGCTCCGGCCTGCGCTCGGCACCGGGCACCGCCTCGGTATAGAGTACAAAATGCGCCTGCCTGCGGGCGGACCCTCACAGATCACAGATCACAGAGTGGTATAGGATAGTACACCTCCCCGCGGGGGCGCGCAGCTCGCCGAGCGACGCGTACCCCTAGGGCCCGGCGGCGGCGGCCGAGGCCACAACGAGGGAGCGGGCTCGGAAGAAGAAAAACACCAGCGAGAAAACGCGAACCAGGCGCTCGCTGAACGCGCCTCCGGCCGGCAGCGCCGCCGACTTCTTAGCCAATGGCGGACGAAGTCGCTACGCCTTCCGTCCCGAAGCCCACGCCCGAGTATGTCGCGGCGGCACGCCGGGGACACGCCAGGCTAAGCAAGAAGACCCCGGCGGTGTCCGGACCGCCAACGGTCGGTGTGGTGTTCAATGGTGGCGGCAACCGGGCGCTGTGCGGTGCGTATGGGGTGCTGCGCGGGCTGCAGCAGCTGAAGGTTGACGGCGTGTCGGCGCTCGACCGCATCGACGTCATGTGCGGCAACTCGGGCGGGTTCTGGGCGACGACAATCTTCAGCTTCGCCTGCGAATCGGATCACTCCAATGAGACCCTCCTCGAAGCTTGCCGCAGCCCCGACCCGACGCTTGTGACCAACGCAGAGCTCGAGCGCCTGGGACCGAAGACGCTCGGCCACGCTGCCACGCGGCCAACTTGCTGGCAGCTCCTCTGTTGTGGCCCGTTTGCTCTTGTCGGTTGGCTCACGGGACCGTGGGGACCGCTGTGCTTGCTGCGAGGCGTCGGGCTCAGCTGTGGGCTCCACGATTTTTGGAGTTGGATCGTCTACTCCACCTACCTCAAGCCGTATGGCATCCCGCGCGGCAAGTTCTTCACCACCGACCGCGCTGAAGCCACAAGGCTCGCCGATTGTGACCCCACGGGCAAGCTTCACGCCACGGACTTCATCTGGCCTCGAGAGGAGGTCCATGCAACGCCGTGCGCGGTGCGCCCTCTCGCACTCCCACGCGGTCTCAGCTTTCCCCTCGCGCCACACGACGCCTCCGCTCTGTGACAGGCCATGTCGATGGTTGGTCCCGCGGACGGCAAGCGCGAATTCGAGGCGCAGGCGGCGGCCATGAAAAGCCAGCTGCAGTGCGAGTACGACTCCAACGGCGAGTTCGACGCGCCGGCGGCGCGACGAGACCATAACGGGGTGTCGCCGGTGCCCTACTTTGCCACTCCCGCCGCCGTCGGCACGCGGTACGAGACGAACACGATGACCTTTGGCACGCGCGTCTTTTCCCCGCCGGGTGACCCCTCCCTCTCCCCATAGCCGCGCACTCTGACTCGCAGCCGCCGTCCCACCCGGGCAGTCCCACGGGTGACCCTCCCCCTCCCCACCTCCGTCAGACTGCGGCGCCACGCCGCCCGACCTTGTCGTCTCGCCGCGCACCGTGCCGCCCTACGAGTGGGTGCTGCCGCCTTCGCTCTGCGACCGCTTCTCCACCTCGCACGGACGGTTTGGCATCGAGACGGCCGCGGCCATCTCTTCGGACGCCTTCCAGTCCTTCCCCTGTTTCGAGTCTGTCTCTGTGCGCCTCAAGGTCGGCGCCCCGCCGGGGCGCGTCCTCGCTTTCGGGGACGGTGCTGTCGTCGAGGGCACGGGCATCTGCACAGCTCTGCTTCAGGGCGTGTCGCGCGTCATTGCCGTCATCAACCCCGAGTCGCCCGGCAGCCCTGTTGTCTCCGTCCCCTACTCGGCGATCGCCGGCAAGTGCCTGGAGGACTGGACAGCGGGGCTCGACCCGCGGCTGGCGTCTCTCTTCGGCGTCTTGCCCAAGGAGGCCAACGGCTGCGCCCAAAAGTGCTTGGCCGAGAAGACCATTGGGCCCGCCTTTGGGCTCAACCACGTCTTCTGCCGCAGCAAGCTCGCGGAGCTCAAGCGCAAGATGGACGCGCTGTACCTTGCTGGCCGCGCCCTGGTGGTGACACTCGAGCTCGACCTGCTGCCGAACGTCTTTTGGGGCTTCGAGGGCGGCCGGACAATCCGGCTCACACTCATCTACTACAACATGCCGCGCAACTTTGCTGAACAGCTGCCTGGCGACGTGTCGGGCGGCGTGACGCCAGCCGGCAACGGCGATGTCCCCGATCGCGCCCAGCTGCTGGCGCCGGGCCTCAGCGACGTGCCTGAGTTGAAGATCCAGCTCGAGCCGCCCGGCTACACCCACTACACCAAGCGGCAGGTCAACATGATGGGACACCTCGGCGCGTGGATAGTCGAGGACGGCCGCGAGGAGATTCGCGCCGCGATCCTCTCCTGAGGTAAGTTAACGGGTAAATTCATTAAAAGCTAACGGGTACAAAGGCTAGCTCAAAAGAAGAAATTATTCGAACAAAAAGAAATCCACTACTGCGCGTTGTTTGGCGTTGTTTCGGCGATCACCACCTCGCTACCCCCCCTCGCTCTCTCCTCACGAACCCTGTCTGCCTTTCGATGCGCCTACTTCTGCTCGGCGTGCTTGCGGGGCTCGCGGACCGCACATCGCGCGGTTGCACTCAGCGGCCCCATTCTCATCGAGGGCCACGCCCTCGGCTCTGACTCGGTCGTGCACTCCAGCATCGACGGGCACTCGACGGAGGCGGCGCGCTCGGCGCCACCTGGCTTTGAGACGGCTCGGCGACGACGGCCTCCTCGGAGGCGGCCTCCTCGGCGACGGCGGCCTCCTCGGTGGCGGCGGACTTGGTGGCGGACTCCTCGGCGACGACGGCCTCCTCGGAGGTGGCGGCGGACTTGGTGGCGGACTCCTCGGCGACGACGGCCTCCTCGGAGGCGGCCTCCTCGCTGTGCTGCAGCTGTGCTGCTGCAGCTGTGCCGTAGTTGTGTTGGATGCAGAAACGTGTCTTCTGTGTGTGTGTGTGAGAGAGTATTCTTGATACGAAACCACGACGACACACACCAGTCGACTCGTATCGGTTGCCTCCATGAACGGCGGAGCTATTCTCGCGCCCACACCACACCTACCTGGCTCCAACGTGGACACGCCCATAGCTGGGGACACTACTAGGTCATGCATGGCATCAGAAGTTTTATCTCTGGGCCCCGAAAGGCATCTCTAGCAGCGTCGTACGCATGCGCCCTCCCCTCCTGGGCGCATGCGCCTCACATCTCGCCAGAGCATAAGCCCTTGGTGTGCGGCGAGACGAGTTTTTCGCCATCGCCGCGAGCAGCAAGCCGCCCGCCGCAAACAGCCGGAGGCATCGCCACGCACACACACACACACACACACACACACACACACACACGTGTGTTCTATAGTGGATAGGTAGAATATCAAAGAGAGAGAATCTCTCTCTCTCTCTCTCTCTCTCTCTCTCTCGTAGAATATCAAAGAAAAGAAATCATCACGCGCGGAGCGTCCGGCCGCCTGCCTGTCTGCCCCCCCTCAATACCAACACACACATGTTCAGGCGGCGCGTCGCCTCACGGCTCGTCTCGAGGTCGTGTCTGGCCGCGCCCGCCTCGTCCTCGAGGCCACTCTCGTCGGCCGCCGGCGGCGCCGTCCTCTTGACGGGCGCGTGCGGCCAGGTCGGGCAGGAGCTGCTGCCGGCGCTCCGCGCCGCCTACGGGGCGGACAACGTGATCGCGAGCGACGTGCGCAAGCCGCCGCCGGGCGCGGACGACGGCGGCCGCTTCCTCTACCTCGACGTGACGCAGGCCGCCGAGCTCTCGCGCATCGTGACGGAGCACCGCGTCGGTACGATCGTCCACCTCGCCGCGCTGCTGTCGGCGACGGGGGAGAAGAACCCGCAGCTGGCCCTCGCGGTGAACAACATGGGCGTGAGCAACGTGCTCGAGGCGGCGCGCCTCAACGGGCTGCGCGTCTTCTCGCCCTCCACCATCGCGGTCTTCGGGCCCTCGTCGCCGAAGCAAAACACGCCCGACGAGACGGTGATGAGGCCGACGACCATCTACGGAGTGACCAAGGTGCACCTCGAGCTGCTGGGCGAGTACTACCACGCCAAGTTCGGCGTCGACTTCCGCTCGCTGCGCTACCCGGGCGTCATCTCCTCGGCACAACTGCCTTAGATGCCATATTCTGCAACCCGCCACCGCTGCACCCCCGCTCGAGAGGGCACGTACTGCGCTGCACTTCCAGCTTTGGGCCTCGTGTTTTCTTTGATGCCCGGCGGCGGGAACACCGACTACGCTTCTACCGCCCTCAGTCTTCTCTTGCTAGGCCGCGATGCCCGGCGGCGGGACAACCGACTATGCCGTCGAGATCTACCACGCCGCACTCGCGCGCGACCAGTGCGCGAGATGCGCCGAGATGCGCCGAGACGCGCCGAGATGCGCCGAGATGCGCCGAGATGCGCCGAGATGCGCCGAGATGCGCCGAGATGCGCCGGTCTGCCGTGTGGAGGGTGGCGCCGAGCTTGCATGCCGAGATTCGCCGGGATGCCGAGCTCCTCCGGCGCGCGCGTCGTCGCAGCCAGAAGGCAGTTCTTGGGGAGAGATTGGGGAGAGATTGGGGAGAGATTGGGGAGAGATTGGGGAGAGATTGGCGTGTGCCCCTTGAGTGGTGGGAGTGACACCCGCTCTCTGTCAGGTACGAGTGCTTCCTGCGCGAGGACACCGAGCTGCCTATGATGTACATGCCGGACCTGCTCCCTAGAAGCGGAATATCTCCCCACATCTCCCCGTATCTCCCATATCTCGGGCCCTGGAAGAGCTGCCTATGATGTACATGCCGGACCTGCTCCCTAGAAGCGGAATATCTCCCCACATCTCCCCGTATCTCCCATATCTCGGGCCCTGGAAGAGCTGCCTATGATGTACATGCCGGACCTGCTCCCTAGAAGCGGAATATCTCCCCACATCTCCCCGTATCTCCCATATCTCGGGCCCTGGAAGAGCTGCCTATGATGTACATGCCGGACCTGCTCCCTAGAAGCGGAATATCTCCCCACATCTCCCCGTATCTCCCATATCTCGGGCCCTGGAAGAGCTGCCTATGATGTACATGCCGGACCTGCTCCCTAGAAGCGGAATATCTCCCCACATCTCCCCGTATCTCCCATATCTCGGGCCCTGGAAGAGCTGCCTATGATGTACATGCCGGACCTGCTCCCTAGAAGCGGAATATCTCCCCACATCTCCCCGTATCTCCCATATCTCGGGCCCTGGAAGAGCTGCCTATGATGTACATGCCGGACCTGCTCCCTAGAAGCGGAATATCTCCCCACATCTCCCCGTATCTCCCATATCTCGGGCCCTGGAAGAGCTGCCTATGATGTACATGCCGGACCTGCTCCCTAGAAGCGGAATATCTCCCCACATCTCCCCGTATCTCCCATATCTCGGGCCCTGGAAGAGCTGCCTATGATGTACATGCCGGACCTGCTCCCTAGAAGCGGAATATCTCCCCACATCTCCCCGTATCTCCCATATCTCGGGCCCTGGAAGAGCTGCCTATGATGTACATGCCGGACCTGCTCCCTAGAAGCGGAATATCTCCCCACATCTCCCCGTATCTCCCATATCTCGGGCCCTGGAAGAGCTGCCTATGATGTACATGCCGGACCTGCTCCCTAGAAGCGGAACATCTCCCCACATCTCCCCGTATCTCCCATATCTCGGGCCCTGGAAGAGCTGCCTATGATGTACATGCCGGACCTGCTCCCTAGAAGCGGAATATCTCCCCACATCTCCCCGTATCTCCCATATCTCGGGCCCTGGAAGAGCTGCCTATGATGTACATGCCGGACCTGCTCCCTAGAAGCGGAACATCTCCCCACATCTCCCCGTATCTCCCATATCTCGGGCCCTGGAAGAGCTGCCTATGATGTACATGCCGGACCTGCTCCCTAGAAGCGGAATATCTCCCCACATCTCCCCGTATCTCCCATATCTCGGGCCCTGGAAGAGCTGCCTATGATGTACATGCCGGACCTGCTCCCTAGAAGCGGAATATCTCCCCACATCTCCCCGTATCTCCCATATCTCGGGCCCTGGAAGAGCTGCCTATGATGTACATGCCGGACCTGCTCCCTAGAAGCGGAATATCTCCCCACATCTCCCCGTATCTCCCATATCTCGGGCCCTGGAAGAGCTGCCTATGATGTACATGCCGGACCTGCTCCCTAGAAGCGGAATATCTCCCCACATCTCCCCGTATCTCCCATATCTCGGGCCCTGGAAGAGCTGCCTATGATGTACATGCCGGACCTGCTCCCTAGAAGCGGAATATCTCCCCACATCTCCCCGTATCTCCCATATCTCGGGCCCTGGAAGAGCTGCCTATGATGTACATGCCGGACCTGCTCCCTAGAAGCGGAATATCTCCCCACATCTCCCCGTATCTCCCATATCTCGGGCCCTGGAAGAGCTGCCTATGATGTACATGCCGGACCTGCTCCCTAGAAGCGGAATATCTCCCCACATCTCCCCGTATCTCCCATATCTCGGGCCCTGGAAGAGCTGCCTATGATGTACATGCCGGACCTGCTCCCTAGAAGCGGAATATCTCCCCACATCTCCCCGTATCTCCCATATCTCGGGCCCTGGAAGAGCTGCCTATGATGTACATGCCGGACCTGCTCCCTAGAAGCGGAATATCTCCCCACATCTCCCCGTATCTCCCATATCTCGGGCCCTGGAAGAGCTGCCTATGATGTACATGCCGGACCTGCTCCCTAGAAGCGGAATATCTCCCCACATCTCCCCGTATCTCCCATATCTCGGGCCCTGGAAGAGCTGCCTATGATGTACATGCCGGACCTGCTCCCTAGAAGCGGAATATCTCCCCACATCTCCCCGTATCTCCCATATCTCGGGCCCTGGAAGAGCTGCCTATGATGTACATGCCGGACCTGCTCCCTAGAAGCGGAATATCTCCCCACATCTCCCCGTATCTCCCATATCTCGGGCCCTGGAAGAGCTGCCTATGATGTACATGCCGGACCTGCTCCCTAGAAGCGGAATACGCGTTCGTGTCTCCCAACCAGCGCCCGAGAGGACACGGATTCCGCCGTCTTCGGCCGTCCTCCGCTGTATTCACTGTATTCCTCTCCGTTGTCTTCACGCGGTGCTCTGAACACACACTACTGCACAATGCCGTACTCCCGCCCCGAGGCTGATGTATTCAGCACGTAGGACCTGCTCTCCGCGACGATCGGGCTGATGGAGGCGCCGGACGAGGCGCTGACCCAGCGCACGTACAACATCGGCGCCATGTCCTTCGCGCCGGAGCAGCTCGCCGCCTCGAGATCACCCGAGATTGCCCGAGATTAGGCGCCATGTCCTTCACGCCGGAGCAGCTCGCCGCCTCGATCCGGCGCGTGCGGCCGCACTTTGCGATGAGCTGTGCGCCAGACTTTCGGCAGGCGATTGCGGAGACGTGGCCCCAGGCACTCGACGACTCTGCGGCGCGGCGGGACTGGGGGTGGCAGCCGAGGTACGACCTCGACGCAATGACGGACGACATGCTGCGCGTCCTCAGCGCGCGCAGGGACGCGGAGGCGGCGGAGGCGGCGGCGGCGGCCGCGGCGCGGCTGGCGGAGGAGAGCAGGGCGGCGGCGCTCAAGCGGAAGCGGATGACAGAGTTCCTCGCCGCCGCCGAGGAGCCGGTCAAGGTCTGACACTTCCAGCGCGGGGCGGCGAGCCGGCGAGCTCTCGAGTGGCGCATACAGTCGCGCGCCGGGGGAATGCGATCGGAGGTCTGCACTCTTCTTCTCTGCGTCTCCACCCGTAGTGTGCACGCTCTCGGTGTGCCCCTCGATCGCGCCTCGCTTGCCTGGGTTCGCGATCTTCGATTACTTTTGGTGCAGTTGCGGCATTTGCATTTCTTTTTCTTGCCTGGTGCGGCTAGGGCGGTCGAGTGCACGGACTAAGAGTGCCTCGCCGTCCTCCTCCTCGGACACCTCGCATCGCAGAGGAGTTTCGCTCTCTTTAGGCGGCTCCCGTGGAGCCGTGGTGTACCTCAGTTCCGCGGTGAAATTGGGCCATATTGGTTACGCTGGTAGCAGTGGGTGTGGGACCACAGCCAGGATCGAGGATGAGGCCTATCTCTCTTTTTCACGACCGGTACATGCGGAGAGCGGCATTGTCACACATCCTACACACCAACATACGTAACCGTCACGGACACCGACGAAGGAAACCAATCTGCACATCGGCACTCGGTAGTGTACATGGCGCGCGCGCTCCGCACTACGAGCGCGAGTGGCTGCGGAGCGCCCCCTTGAGCTCCGCCACCTGGTCGAGAGCGTCGCCGAGCAGCCCCTTGGCCACGCCCAGGTCGCGCAGCTGCTCCACGCCGCCGCTCGCCCGCACCTCGGCGGCGTGGTCGGCCACGAAGCGGCGGCACTGCGCGAGGAGCCGCCCGTCGCCCGTCGTGTGCGCCGCCTCGAGCAGCGGCACGGCGGTCGCCGGCCCGACGCTCTCCTGCAGCGCCTGCGCGCAGAGCAGCTCGAGGCGCGGCACCTGGTACATCTGCGCCAGCTGCCGCAAGACGAGCGCGCGCCGCGCCTGCTCGCCCTCCCCCTCGCCGAGGTCGGCATTGGGCACCGTGACCTCGGCGGCGTCGCGCTCCTTCAGGCCGATGCCAAACATGGTCCGAAAGAACACGGACCGAACGCAGAGGGCGTTCTTGCTCACGTGCTCGATGCGCTCCTCGTCGTCGCCAACCAGGAAGGTGACCATCCTCTGCGGCAAAGCGTCGTCGCCCCACATCTTGCCCATGTCGGCGGAGAAGGTGGAGGGCGGAACCACGAGCGGCGCGAAGGGGGGAGGCGGAGGAGGCGCCGCCACGCAGACCTGGCGGAGGCAGCCGTTAGCGTAGACCGAGAGGGTGCTGCCGTCGGGGCTGATGGCGAGGGCCGCTGGGTGTTTGAACTGCGCCGCGTCACCCACGCCATCAGCGCTGCCCCTGGCGCCGCCGCCCGCGAGCGTAGTGACTGCACCCCGCGTCGCCACCTCCACCCGGCGGATCTTGTGGTTGCCGTATTCCGCCACAAACAGCGCGCTGCCTCTTGTGGTTCTTGCAGTCCGCCACAAACAGCGCGCTCCCGTCCGGGCTGATGGCGAGGCCGAGTGGGGGGCGTTGAACTGCGCCGCGCCGCTCACGCCATCCGCGTCGCCATACTCTTCGCTACCCGCGAGCCCGACTGGTGCGTGGAACTGTGCCGCATCGCCCACCGACGCCGTCTGCATCGCCTTGGACGCTGCTTGGTTGGACGCCGCTCGCTACCCCCCGCAAGCGTCGTCTCAGCACCCGACGCCACTTCCACCCGCCGGATCTAGTTGTTGCTGGGGTCGGTCACAAACAGCGCGCTCCCATACGAGCCAACGGCGACGCCGGCGCCGCCTTCACAGGTTGCCACGGTGCGCACGCGCCCGGCCGCCGAGACGTGCAGCACCGAGTCCTTAGTCGCGACGGGTGATCGCTTCCCACGCTGCGCAGCTCGAAAGACGCCAGAGGTCCGTCCTCGCCCTCGAGCGCCAGCGTGGTGACCTGGCCGACGATGCGCGCGCCAAAGATGGGCGCCTCGAAGCCGGCCGCGACCGCCACGGGCTCGCCCTCCTTTTCGCCGGCGCGCCTTTCGCCGGTGGCGGGCGCGCGCGATAGCACCGAGAGCGATGTGGAATTCGCCATGAGAGTTTTCTTTTGTGACGAAGGATTCATTTTTCATAGTCCCCATAGTGATTGCGTGATTTATCTCTTTTAGCGATTCGGTGGGCCGCGTCCCGCCTGGTCGTTTACGTTTTAGCCTGCTCGTTAGGGCGAGACGATCGGAGGGGTCCCATGCGGAATCGACCCTATCAAGTGCTCAAGTGCTCAAGGTTGATCTCGAAGCGGCCGACTTCCGCCTCTGATCCGATCTGCCATGGAGACCATCAACCTCATCACCCCTCCGCCTTCGCCCGCCGGCGCCGGCGCCTCAATCGAGCAGTCCATGTCCATGTCCATGTCCATGTCCATGTATGTATGTATGTAGGAAGGTCCGTCCATCGACCTCGACAGCTCCACCGCCGCCTCGCCCGCCGCCTCGCCTGTCACAGGGGCCAGCAATCTGGAGACCTGTGAGTAGGGGGGTAGGGGGTAGCCGCTGTGCCTGGACACGTGTCGAGGGGTAGGGGGGTAGGGGGTTAGGTAGCCCGGCGGCAAACCCTACCCTTCCCCCAAACAGCTCGAATCCTGGAGAGTGTCTTGATGTTGCATGACCGCGGCGAGGCTGAGCAGGCAGCGGCGGCAGAGGGCTGCACCGCGACGGCGGAGGAGGGAGCGCTGCTTTACGCGCGCGAGCTGGGAACGGAGGCGTCCGCAGCAGCGGCGGCAGGGGCGGCGGCCGAGCCTATGACGGTGGCGGAGGCGGAGCAGGCAGCGGCGGCAGAGGGCTTGACACTGGTGCGCTCGTCGCGCTCCAGCACCGGGTTCCAAGGCGTGTGCGCACATTCGAAGGGGAGAGGCTTTAACGTGGCGCGCACGCTTGATGGTAGAACGCAGTACATTGGCTGCACCGCGACGGCGGAGGAGGGAGCGCTGCTTTACGCGCGCAAGCTGGGAACGGAGGCGTCCGCAGCAGCGGCGGCAGGGACGGCGGCCGAGCCTATGACGGTGGCGGAGGCGGAGCAGGCAGCGGCGGCAGAGGGCTTGACACTGGTGCGCTCGTCGCGCTCCAGAAGCGGGTTCGAAGGCGTGTACGCAAGTTCGAGGGGCTTTAACGTGGCGCGCCATTTTGATGGTAGAACGCAGCACATTGGCTTCACCGCGACGGCGGAGGAGGGAGCGCTGCTTTACGCGCGCAAGCTGGGAACGGAGGCGTCAGCAGCAGCGGCGGCAGCGGCGGCAGGGGCGGCAGGGGCGGCGGCCGAGTCTATGACGGTGGCGGAGGCGGAGCAGGCAGCGACGGCAGAGGGCTTGACACTGGTGCGCTCGTCGCGCTCCAGCACCGGGTTCGAAGGCGTGTGCGCAAAGTCGAAGGGGAGAGGCTTTAAGGTGAAGCGCAGGGTTGATGGTAGAACGCAGTACATTGGCTGCACCGCGACGGCGGAGGAGGGAGCGCTGCTGTACGCGCGCGAGCTGGGAACGGAGGCGTCCGCAGCAGCGGCGGCAGCGGCGGCGGCCGAGTCTATGACGGTGGCGGAGGCGGAGCAGGCAGCGGCGGCAGAGGGCTTGACACTGGTGCGCTCGTCGCGCTCCAGAAGCGGGTTCGAAGGCGTGTACGCAATCTCGAAAGGCAACGGCTTTGCGGTGAGCCGCATGGTCGATGGGAGAAAGCAGCATATTAGCTGCACCGCGACGGCGGAGGAGGGAGCGCTGCTGTACGCGCGCGAGCTGGGAACGGAGGCGTCAGCAGCAGCGGCGGCAGCGGCGGCAGGGGCGGCAGGGGCGGCGGCCGAGTCTATGACGGTGGCGGAGGCGGAGCAGGCAGCGGCGGCAGAGGGCTTGACACTGGTGCGCTCGTCGCGCTCCAGCACCGGGTTCGAAGGCGTGTGCGCAAAGTCGAAGGGGAGAGGCTTTCAGGTGAAGCGCACGCTCGATGGTAGAACGCAGTACATTGGCTGCACCGCGACGTCGGAGGAGGGAGCGCTGCTGTACGCGCGCAAGCTGGGAACGGAGGCGTCTGCAGCAGCGGCGGCAGCGGCGCCGGCCGAGCCTATGACGGTGGCGGAGGCGGAGCAGGCAGCGGCGGCAGAGGGCTTGACACTGGTGCGCTCGTCGCGCTCCAGCACCGGGTTCGAAGGCGTGTGCGCAAAATCGAAGGGGGGAGGCTTTAACGTGAGCAAACGGGTGCGCGGTGCAAAGCAGTACCTCGGTTACGCCGCGACGGCGCAGGAGGGTGCGCTGCTGTACGCGCGCCATCTTGGCGCGGAGGCATCGGCTGCGACCGATGCAGCGGAGGACGAGTACGCGGGACGCCAGGCGGTCGAGATGTCGAATGCAGCCGTAGAAGGGAGTAGAGAGGCACAACCAGCGACGGCGTCAAGGACGCGTCCCAGGCACAAGCTCATCCACGGACGGCGCGTGCAGCGGCTGATGGGTCTGCCCGCCGAGATACATGCCCTCGTGCTCGAGCACCTCGCAGCCAGCGCACCGCCGGCCAGCTTCGTGGCGTGCGCCGCCGCCTGCGCTGCGCTCTTGGAGGTGTACACGCGGCACCGCGCTCAGCTCTGGTGCTCTGCGCTCAGCCGCCGGGTTCGCCTCCAGGGTGCCCTGCCCGGTGTTCAGCGCGACTGGCAGGCACTCTACCGAGCATTACTCGGCGGGCGCGACGGGCTCGAGGCCAAGGGGTGGGCGGACGACAACAAGCTCGACAATGCGGACGAGATGCGCCACGCGTGGTGGCAGGCCGACGCGCTGGCGTTCAGCGCCGCCAACGGGCTGGTGCTCGTGCGCTATCGCGGGTACGAGGACGAGGGTGAAGACGAGTGGAGGCCACTCACGCAGCTGCGCCCTTACGAGGAGCGGCCCTCCGCATTGTGGCGCTCGACGAAGCGGACCAAGGGTGAGGCGGTGGAGGTGGCATGGGCGCCGCCAGACCACCCCACTGCTAGGTGGGAAGCCAAGGTGATCGCGGTCCGCGCACGCAAGGCGAAGGTGCGCTTCCTCGGATTTGACGCGAGCTGGGACACCTGGCTCCCGTCAACTTAGACGCTGTTTGTGGCCCTGTACACGTGGGTCGGGCAGCAGTGATTGATGGGGACGTCAAGAGCCTCCATCCGTCTGCCACACGTGCGTGCTTTGAGTTCTTTGAGGGCGGTCCGGTGGAGGGGGAGGGGGAGGGGCGGGGCGGGGCGGGGTTGTTCGGGTCGAGGTGGGGAGGAGATGTTGGGGTGGGGTGGAGCGGGCGCCGGAGTGGGAGTCAGATGGCGGCTTCTCGTGTGGTGAGTCGACGGCTTCTGAGGACGACTTCTGAGGACGACGGCGTCCGCGGGCGCCTTGCAGGCAGAGCCCTTAGCCACCCTTGATAAAGTCGGCGCTTGTTGTTATCAAGGTTTGTTTGTTCTTGTTCGCCTTTGTATTCGCGCAGGCGGCAAGCGCACGTTCACTCATGATAATTCGATGCACGATGGCAGCCGTCCGCCGCCCCCGCCACACGCACAATCCACAAATGGCTGCGCGCTTGCTGCCCCCGGCCTCGCGGGACGGCTGCCATTGGCTGCCATCGAATTATCACCAGCCATGCTCCGGAGGATGGCTGCACTGACTGTGCCCCAGCCACAGTAGATGGCTGAAATGGCTGTCCCGCAGCCATCTTTCCCAAGATGGCTACGATGTAGCCAGCTCAGCCAAGAGGGCTCACCTCGAGGCGGGCGGTATGGCTGCGGTAGTGCGTCTCCAGCCATGTCTACTAAGGATGGCTGCCGTGTGTGTGTTGCAGCCATCGGGCTGGAGGATGTGGCTGCACTGCAGCTAGCTCAGCCATCCTTAGGTAAGATGGCTGTCCGCTTTGGACGGACGGAAAAACACCCCCCTTTTATGCCTGACCCTGGCCATGGCCTCTCTGGGGGTGAGCTGGGCCGGCCGCCTCCGGGTCCGCCACTCGCACGATGGGCTCGCGTCCGGGAGAGCATCCGAGACCCGCGGTTGTCCGCTCGCTGGGCGCGACCTACATGGAAATCCACTGCACACAGATCTGTGCTTTTGGCGCCTATTGCTCGCTCTCTGTGCAATCGCAACGCCAGAGGCCGTGCTTGGAGAGTGTGTCGCAGTGCTGCTACGTCAGTGGATTGAGCCGCGACGCAGGCTCCATCGGTGAGCTGCGGCGGCGCACCGGCCGCTCCATGCATGCTCTCCGGCGAGCCGTCGCAAACGCGTTTCCGTCCGCCCGTTTCATCGAGTTTGCCCGAGTGGTAAAATGCAATCGAATCTGCCCGAGTGGTCAAGTAAAACTTTGCCTTTCGAAAAGTTGCCCGAGTGGTCGAGTGGTCAAGTAAAACTTTGCCTTTCGTAAAAGTTGCCCGAGTGGTCTGTGGGGAAAAACGAAAATCGAGACGGACTTCTTGAACGGCCGGGCAAGGAGTCCACAACGGACGCCGAGGACACGTCGACTCAGCAGCCCACCGCCGGCGTGTGGCGCGCACATGCGTGTGGGGTGTACACGGGCGACACGTACCGACTGACCAAGGCCGATGGTGAGCGGATAAGGGTGGATCACGAGGCGGGTCGCGCCTCCTGTCTAAGCAAGCCGTGGTACATCGAGTTCGGCCCGGCGGGGGAGGTCCTCCATCGTGGTCGGCCGACAGGCGCGACACTCCTCGATCCTTTCCACATCACCTTCCCGTCGAGCGTGCTTCGCGGGTGCGATCTCACTTGGTGGTACGAAGGAAGCGAGCTCTTGGAGCTCGTGAACGCCGCGACCTCAGCGCTCGAGCATCCGCTGACTGTCCTGCCCGCGCTCACTGGCCACAGTGTACCGTATCGAGAGGCGCGCGAGCGTGCGGCCTTGTTCTCCGATGCGGATCACACGGGCCTGATCAACGGCTGGCGCGTCATCCGAATGAACGAGAAGAGTTGCGCACCCGGCGCGCCCATCGGCGTCAATCGGGCAGACCGGGTCACCAGGGAGTGTGTCTGCATCCACTCATGCTGCTGCCTCGGCTGCTTCCCTTGCTACTGTCCCTTCTTTCTGTTCTACGAGGGCGAGGGCGAGTTCCGCCCGCTGGTCGACGCCGACTTCAGCCGCCTCGTGAGCTTGGGCGACGGCCGGCTAGCCCAGTACTACTTCCCCTGGACCAGCCCGTACAACCCTGTGTGCAGCTGCGGTGTCGTCGACGAGAAGAAGAGGTCCGACTTCCTTTGGGAGCCACTCAAAGTACGGGTTTAAATAAATCATTTTTGAGGAAAGACACTCCGCAGTCTTCTCCTATTATCGGCCTAGCGCGCTCGGCGGGGAGCTGGATAACCAGTCTGTGAAGCGTGTGAAGGGCCCGCCGCGGCCCGCGGCGCCGGGGCGGTCGAGGCGTGCACCGTGCACGCGCGGCGGTAGGAACAAAAGGAAGCGCGCCGCGGCGGCGGGGCACGCGGCCGCGGGCCCGCCCGGCCGCCTAGCTCCCTAGCTGTGAGACCTTTTTGAGATCTCTCTTGCTTAAATACACCTCCCACCCCCCACTCGCGAGACGGGCTGCAGCTTGAGGCCTCGGCTGCGTGGCTGCGCTGATCGCCGCCGCGCCCGCCGGGTGCAGTGGCAGTAGACCTTGCGCCCTCGCGGTGAGAAGCGGGAGGCCGTCGGGCAACATTCCTGCCGGTGCGGCGGCCGGTCGGCGGCCGCTCAGGCCTCGACGAGGAAGGCGGTCGAGTTGGAGCCGCACGCGATCTGCAGGACCTTGCGGCCGTCGAAGGTCACTTCGGCCAACTCCCACTGCTTGCGCTGCGCCTTTGGAAGCCCGAGCGGCGTCCCGTACCCAAACGTGTACGCGCGGCCGCCGTCGGTCCGGATCGCCACGTGGCTGGCGCCCACCTACTCATTCGTTCATTCCTCAACACAAGCATTCAGGCATGAAGAAGTCATTCGTTCCTTCATCGCCGCGTGGGCTGGCGCCAACCTCGAGCTGCGCCACCTTGCCCTCCACGCGCACGCCACTGTCGGCGGCGTCTCTGCCGCCGCTGCCCGGCAGCAGGGTCGGCTCGAAGTAGCGCCGCATGCCCCACATCCAGACCGAGTCATCCTCGAGCAGGACGGCCGTACCCAGCTCGCCGCACGCAACGTCCACCACGCGGCCAGCCCCCTCCGGCAGCGGCACCGGCGCCGGCTCCTGCTGCGCGTCGAAGGACTGGCCAGAGTTGAGCAGCCCGGACACCTCGTACCCCAGCTGCCAGTGCTCGTTCCTCCCCCACGTGTACAGCTGCCCGTCGCCCGCCACGCAGGCCGAGTGCGCCTCGCCCGCCCGCGCGACGGTCGGTGCGAGGTCGTCGCAAGCCTAGACCGAGACAGTTGGGATACAGCCGAGATGCAGCCGAGATGTAGCCGAGATGCAGCCGAGATGCAGCCGAGGTATAGCCGAGATACAGAGCTCCTCGCTCACCTCGTCCATCCGCTCAGGCTCGAGCCGGTCCGAGGCGTCGCCAAAGCCGAGCCGGCCCCACTCGCCGCGGCCCCACGACCACACCCCGCCCTCGCGGTCGACCGCGAGAGAGTGGTAGCCTCCGCCGCTCACGTACGCCGCACGCACGTCGCCGCCAAATGCCGACACCACCTTTGGCGTCTCGAGCTGCTGCCGGTCGCCTGCAGGAAGGGTCCGAGAAGGTTCCGGGAAGGTCCGCTCCTGGCGCCTCGAGCAGCTGGCGATCGCCGTGGCCGAGGCCGCCGGCGCCGCTGAAGAAGGAGCCGCCGAAGCCCCACGAGTAGACCTCGCCCTCCGCCGTCCGCGCCAGCGTGTGGTACGAGCCGCAAGAGAGCTGCGTGACGCCGGCGCCGCTCAGCGCCTCCACGAGCGCGGGCGTGTGCGCCTTGGTGCGGCGCGAGCCGAGGCCGAGCTGGCCCGAGGCCTCGAGGCCCCACGCGTACACGCTGCCGTCGGCGGCAACCGCCGCGGAGTGATACTTGCCGCACGCGACGTGCGCAATGGGCGTCGCCTCGAGCGCCGGGATGGGCACAGGCGCCTCGCGGTCTTGCGAGTCGCCAAAGCCGAGCTTGTTGTACTCGGCAGTGCCGCAGATGTGCAGCACGCCGCTCGCCGCCCCGGCCGCGGAGGAGAAGCAGCGCACGGCAGCCTTCGCGCCGGAGGCCTTCGCTGCGCCGCGGAGCATCTCTACCAATAGGTACAAAAGAATTTTACAACAAAACTCCCTCGCACGACAAAAAGAATTTAAACAAGGCAACAAAAAGAATTTAAAGAAAACAACTCGCTCTCATAGCACACAGGCTCGACACAGGTGAATTCACGCGCCCCGATGCCAAGCGTCCGGCCGAGGCCGTGGAGAGCGATGAGTCACGCGCCCCGAGGTCCACCGTGCCCAGTGTCGGGGCGCGAGGGAGTTGGTCGGAAAATTCTTTTTGCGATTTCCGTTACCGTTTAGAGACAGATGGCGTGAAAATAAAAAAGTTTTTTTCCAAAAAAGAGTCGCAAGAGGCTCTATCACTCGTTGCATGCCTTGCTGACGACATATCCCGTCCGCCGGTACCGCCCGCCATAGCACCACGTCAGCTCGTCACCGGGTTGGATCTCGCGCGAGGCGTGGGCGGTGATGACGGTGCTACAGACGCGTATGCTGCTGCCACTCTCCTCGACGCCAAACGCCGAGCAGGGCGCGGGGCGCCAGTGTAGACGTTCGGCGCCTCGTCGGCGGACGGCTCATTCATCACGTGCGCGCTCATCGCGTAGTAATCGTCCTTGTGCGGATGGATCCATCGGCGCCCCGCGCTCCAGTCCGCGAGCTGCAGCGCCGCGTGCGCCTTGAGCGCGGCCGTGACGCGCGTCTTGTCGAGCGGACCCCAGCCAACACCGCTACACTGTGGGGGGTGCCCGAGCATGATGTATGTGCGCGTCTGTGCGTGTGTGGGACAGACGTTGTTATCCTATGCGCGGGGCTTCCCGCGGGGACCGAAGACGTAACAGTAACAGCAGCAATGGCGCGGTTCACACCTCAGGAAACAGAAAAAAGCAGCGCCAACGGCGTGTCCGAGGAACCGAATCAGAGAAAGACGATCGACTTTAAGGCCGCCGCCGCCGCCCTCCCTCACGCCCGCGCAGCTCTTGTGTGCCGCCGGCCTCCGCTGCCACTGCTCCGCCACCGCCGCTGCCGCCTCCGGCTCCGCCTCTGCCGCCTCCCCATCCCAGAGCGCACAATCAAACCCACAAGCGTTACGCGTTCGCATCCCCCGACTCACGGTGTGCGCTCCCCTCGTGTGCAGAACACCGCTCAAAATGGGTTGCACCGCCTCGAAGATGGAGCACGCAGTGACGGATGACATCAACGGCAGGGCCGACATCGAGGAGGCACGCGCGGAGAACCAGGCGCTCAAGGACGAGATCCAGGCGCTCAAGGACGAGAACCAGGCGCTCAAGGCGGGGACGCCGGACGACTCCGACAAGTGTGGCACTTCGCGCTACATCAAGGCCGATGTCCCCCCTCCCTCCCCTTCCCCCGCTCGCCGCCGCCAGCCCACCCTCGCCACCACGGGTCAGGCGCTCGTGAACAAGGTGCAGGAGCTCAAGATTGAGGTCCAATCGCTCAAGGCGGGGTCGACGCCGGACGGCTCCGACAAGCTTGGCACTTCGCGTGACGTGAAGGCCGACCCAGCCGCCCCCGCCCCACCACCGCCACCGCCGCGCCCTCGTCCTCGCCGCCCTCGCCGCCTCCTCACACCTCCCCGCCACCGCCGCCTCCCTCCCCCCGTCTCCCTTCCATCCGTCCTCCATCTCCCCGCCACTTTCCTCCCCTCCGCCGCCGCGCCCGCATCCCTCGTCTCCGCCAACACACGTCCCGCCGCCCCCCCCCTCCCGGACCCACCGCCACCACGGGTCAGGCGCTCGAGGACGAGGTCCAGTCCCTCAAGGCGGAGAAGCCGGACGGCTCCGACAAGTTTGGCACTTCGCGCTACATCAAGGCACGCCCGCCCCCCCTTACACC